TATATATATATATATATATATATATATATATATATATATATATATATATATATATATATATATATATATATATATATATATGTCTGGGGTTAAACATACACATGCATAAAACCTAGCTTCAGGAGCTTAATCATGGTATTTCCTGGAGCTGAAGCCAACTTTCAAGTACCATAGTTGCTTTTGCGCAAATCTGAAGTTCTTTTTTTCCCCTCTCTTTACCAGTGTACTTTTATCTGTTTCAAATTTTCCTAGTATTTGTAAGTTGGGAAATTATTTATCTATTATGAGAAGATAACCAAAATAGCAAATTTCTTTTCTGTTTCTTCCTTTTAGGTACTTCCGTCATGCTTCCACGGAGCTGTTCGTAATATCTCAAGCGTTGGCTAGATACATTTCAATAAATAGGTGAGTTCTCATTCCATGGCATTCAGCACCATGGAGTGTGGATGACCGTTTATCGAATTGTAATCCCTTGTTTGAATTGCAGATCCCTACTCCGTACTTATGCACATGATGATGTCAGTGTTGGGTCCTGGTTTATTGGTGCCGATGTCAAACATGTAGATGAGAGGAAGTTTTGCTGCTCGTCTTGGTCATCAGGTCTCTTTATATCTCTGTTTATACCAGTATATTCTTGGACAGATTAAATCATGTTCTCCTATGAAATATACTGTTTAGCTAGCTGCATAATGATGTTTGAGTTCGTAGGAGCAAGGGAAGTGGAATGAAGTTTCTTTTCATGGACCAATTTTTTGGACTCCTTGATGTAACCTGTGATGTGTTTTGCAGGAGCCATTTGTTCGGGAGTGTGATTTAACTTGACTGAAAAGTGCAGAAGGCGTTTAAAGTGGCTTACTTGTTGAGTCCCTTGCTTCGCAATTGCTAGCATAGCTTCATGACACTTGGGTTTTGTCAACTCATCTCTGTCCGGCATTCTTCGGGAGTTCATTCCTTTATCAGAAAATATATGTAGATTGCAGAGCTGCTGAAATTGTGAGGATTCTTTTCTGACATAAGTAAACCCAAAGTACATATGATGTATAGGCTTCTATCCTTTAGGAAGTCGAGTATATTGTTTTACCCAACCCCTGGCTTGTGAGGGACAGACACTAATCTTACCATATTAAGATGTTGTTTATTTGCTTATTCTTTGAGAAGCGAAGGGGATATGTATACTTGAATTCATCTGTGAATTTTGGGAAAATATACCTTCTTGTCATGAGGAGTTCATGTAGATGGAATTGCGGAAAAGAAAATGACCATTTATTATTATTTGTCCACTCTAGTTGCTTGTTTTTGAATCATTAGCCAGTCTACAATTATCAAGTGTGTCTACACCTTATATGAGTCTGGAGAATCGATATCTTGTCCATGCTAGCACTATTTGCTGTAGCTTTATGGAATTATTTTGAAGGCTATCTGTCATCTGGTCCAACTGGTTAACTATCAAGGAGAAGGAGGCACTGAGACTGCATTATTAAACTGTGACTTTGTTGTTGTTTTCAAATTCATTTCATGTTGGCCTTAATAAATCAATGTCCTTCGCATTCACTTCATATTACAGTTAATTTTGCTAAAGATTGACAGCACCATTAAAACCAAACGTTTTTTAAAAAAAAATAATTTTCTTTTAAGAAGTTTCTTTTTTATCATTCTCACGTGTGAATCGAAATAGAAACGCTTTTACCATTTTACTCGATGATTTTTCAAGTTCTAATATTTTTCCTTTTGGAAACTGTAAGTCATCTAAAAATCCGCACTTCAATATGCATCTGGCGTAACTATTCTTGGGAGGTCACGTTTTTTTTTTTTTTTGGCTCAATTACAATTTAATAGCAAGTTAGTAATCTTACATTATAGTAAAATCTTCAATAATTGTATTTCATAACATGTAATATTGTTGTCACTAGACAATATTAGTCCGCATTTGATACATGCAGCAAATCAACAAAAACACATTAACATATGTCAATTATAAAAGATTTATTACTCCACTTAACAATAAGTAAACAGTTGCACTGAATATTTTCGTGAAAATAGCACGGGTTAGCCAGTTTTCAATATTATGCTGGAACTCCAATATATTATGCTGGAATATTTTCCAGAATTTGAACAGTATTTTCGTTCAGATTTATCTTTATATAAAAAATGACTAAAATTCGATTACTTTTGAAACTGTGGCTATTTTTCAATTACCATTTGTAAATCTGGCTATTTTTCAATTTCTCCCAATATTTTCCTCTTTGAGGAAAAAAGAATCCGTCTTTGGATCACCCATCCAAATCCAATACATATTTGGATCAGAAGAAGCCCGCAGGGTTAGGTACAAAGCACCAAAAATCGGGGTAAAAATGGCGTGTGGTGGATACTAAATAAGGTGGTGTTTATTTTTTATCCACCAATTCTAATGCGAGCAAAAATAGCCACTACTCTATTAAAATTATTTTGAAAAGACAGATATACCCTTTCTTCTATTCTTATATTCCCAAACCCTTATTTTATACGTTCAGAGGCAAAATTTGAGAGCCAAAATTTCAGAGGCAAATTTCGCTCCCTAAGTATCGTTCCTTGCATGCAAATCATTGTTCGATTTGTTCCTGCCCAGCGATTCTCAGTAGTTTATTGCAGTTAATCTATTCTCCTTTGTCATCTTCTTTGCATCGAACCAGCAAACTGGTATATTTTTTATTTTTCTTTTATGCATTTCTCTTTTTGTATAACTGTAATCGCGATCAATGCTGTGTTTGACATCAAGTATAGGAAATTCGAAAATAATGATTATAACTTGATTGAGTGTGAAATAAGTTGCGGATTTTTGTTAGGAAGTTATTCAGAACATTTTTATATTGAAATGTGTTTGTGGTTCAATCAATATATTTGATTATGTAAGGATATTTCATAAAAATAGTCGTATGAATTCATAAGCTAACTGTATTTATGCATTTTTAGTTAATTGTGCTTTTATAAAAGTTAAGGACCAGGTGTCCTTAACTTTTGAACTTGTAATTCAAAGTTCAGGACCAAGTGTCCTTAACTTTTGAACTTGAAATTCAAAGTTAAGGACCAAGTGTCCTTAACTTTTTAACTTGGAAATCAAAGTTAAGGACCAGGTGTCCTTAACTTTTGAACTTGTAATTCAAAGTTTAGGACCAAGTGTTCTTAACTTTTGAACTTGGAATTCAAAGTTAAGGACCAAGTGTTCTTAACTTTTGAACTTGGAATTCAAAGTTAAGGACCAAGTGTCCTCAACTTTTGAACTTGGAAATCAAACTTCAGGACCAAGTGTACTTAACTTTTGACTTGGAACTCAAACTTCAGGATCAAGTTTCCTTAACTTTTGAACTTGTAAATCAAAGTTAAGGACCAAGTGTCCTTAACTTTTTAGCTTGGAATTCAAAGTTCAGGACCAAGTGTCCTTAACTTTTGAACTTGTAAATCTAAGTTAAGGACCAAGTATCCTTAACTTTTTAACTTGGAATTCAAAGTTCAAGACCAAGTGTCCTTAACTTTTGAACTTGTATGTCCTTAATTTTAAGATGCATTTTACTTAGGTCCTGGATTTTAGTCCTAATTTTTTATGTTCTTTTTCCTTCTTTGTAGTGTTCTAATGGAAGGAGATCGTGTTTTCGACTTTGATGTTTGGCGTAATTTGAATACCTATTGGAAAGGAGATTTACAGTATAAGGTTTCTTGTCGAACAAGCAATGGAAGAAGTCGAGGGATGGTATTTTTGGAAACTTTTTCCGATTGCAAAGTGTGAAGTTCTGTTTTAAACTTATTCATTGTGTGTTGCTTTCAGAAATTGTAAGCGATGACCCTAATTCAATGACATTCAAGGTTTTTGACCATGAGGTAAAGTTTACACGTGAAGCGTTTCATAATTACTGGTTTAAAATGTTCTTCTTCAGTGGACTTCACAGTTTTGCGTGAAAAAGAGAATAGGCTTCGAAAGTCTACTTCCCCGGGAAAGATAGAATTGAGTTAGGCGATTTGTTTAATTTTATTACTAGTCACCCAGATGGTACAGCTGCATCATTTGTAGGTACCGATGATGATGCGGTGAAGTTGGCAATAATTTATTTTGTTGAATCTGTTTTGATGGGGAAGCGGAAGAATCAGAATGTATCCGAGCAGCTAATGAAAGTTGTAGATGACAATGAACTCTGCTCCTCTTTCAACTGGGGCTCTCTTTGTTATGAAACGTTAATAAAATCATTGAAGAGTTGTTTGAAGCCCAATGAGAATGAGAATGAGAATGAGAAAGAGAAAGAGAAAGATAAAGATAAAGACAAGGACTGTTATACTATACTTGGCTTCCCTTTTGCTTTTTGTGTTTGGATTATAGAAGTATTTTCAATTTTCCAGGAAAAACAATTTGTGAACTTCAGAGAATGTGGGTATCCTCGGATGTTATGTTATTCAGATATGAAATCTCCACAATATGATTCTCTATGTAAAAAATACTTCCATAATGAAAATGTAAGTTAATCTGATTACTAGCTTTTTTTTTGTTTATGTGTTTTAGTTCTGAAAACTTACTTTTTTTTCTTCTTATATAATAGTTGTATAAGTTGATCGAGGTGGTACCATTTGTTTCTGTCGAAGAAGATGCGGAGCCTGTTAGTGTGCATGAGCCATTGTCTCAAGATCGAAGTTCAATGCCTTCCTCCACACAATTTGATGAAGCCTTGCTTAAGGAAATTGTTAAAGTAGGTTTTCTGTCTTTGAATAGCTATTAGTTTTTTATTTGTATTATTTTTGCTTTAAGAGTACTTTTTTGTTTTCTATGGTTTTTTGATTTCAGTAGATTATTCGGA